TTTAGAAATTGCAAGGAACCAAGTCGAAAATTGACAATGCGGTAGCATAGCAGCTGCTACATGCATTGACGCGCTAGTTGTACTGGCGGTAATGCGTCACAGAGTATGTGGCTCACATATTAGCTGTTATGAAAAACTAGCCAATTAAGAGAGCGCGTCAATGGCTCTACACTTAAACAGAAAATTCAGCTTTTTGGGTACTCAGTTTAAACTTGCCATTAATTGCATGTTATAATTTGTGTCTTTATGCTTTGGAATATCATGTAATCGCCTAAATATCATGCCTGATCCGGCAAGTGCCTGCTGAAAGTACCTGATCTATTTGGTTGGACAGGATTTCCCACTGGAACCAACCTGGAGCTGGTGGGTGCACTAAAGGTACTCTATGCATCCAACCTCGTTGAATCTGTCCAACTGGGCAGATTTGATAGCGAACAAATGAGACGTCGCTGTTATTGTGGGTGAGTTGACATGTAATGCGTTCGTCGTGCTACCCTCTTTCCGTGAAATCACATTGCTCGATGTTGAATAGCCAAGTAGTGGGTACAGATTCGCCGCCTGATTTAAATGTGTTCAGCCAAGCTGCTAAGGTTGGCGTTAGAAAGAATGCATGATACTTGAGTTGGGGTGCACCATGGCCTTTGTGTTGTTTGGTACAGAGTGGCAGTGTTGTGGTCCAATAAAATCCATTCTGAAAAATGAACACGGAATAGTAAACGACTTGAATTTCTCGTTTATTCCATTTGCCTGTCTCTGCTTGGTGAGACTAAAGCCGATGAGTTTAACATGCTTGAAATAATTTACTTTCGGATTTCTTTTATTGATAGAGCTAGATGTTCTGCATATAGATATCCATTCCCCGATATTTATGACAAGCAAAGTAATGGTCCCCTTGCCACAGTCTTCAACCAGCATGTGTTCTCCAAACCAGCACTCGCAGTCTCGATTCTGAGTTGCATTGGTATGTGCCATGTGGCGTGAGTGGCTACAAGAGAAGAACCACTCCAAAAGTCTGATTGTAATGCAGCACAAAAAGTGCAGTTTTACCTTTGTCTTCATACAAGGCGTCGTTAAGTCACTAGTAATACTTCGCATAGAAACGAGGCAACGCTATTGGCTCACATGCCTGTCTCATACCAAGCTAGTAGTTTTCTTCGAACGCTCACTCTCTCTGGCGACGTAAACTGCCACAACGTTTAAAACCAAGGCACAGAAAAAATTTTCAAAAGCGATGCGCGGATGCCATCAATGGAAACCTGAGCAGGTAATTTTAACCACGCACTTCATCAAATTTTGTGTTTATGGCAAAACGCTCACAAAGATTTAATAATGTTTGCCAGTCTCAAGACCACGCTGTAAATCTGTAGCAAATATTAACGCTTTACATCCATCGACTCTGCCTGAGAATCATTCACAATTTTCAGCGTCATTTGGTAGGCCTATTTGCCTACTTACAGGCCCATTTACTCAAATTAAATGTCACCTAATCAATCCGCCCTTTCCTTTAACTACTGCATATGGGTTAGTGTCTGTGGATACAACACTTCCCTCCCCATCAATGTTTGATAAATTCAGTGATATGCTCGAGACTAAAGTTGAGAGCAGAGAATCCATTGAAACTTCTTCGTGGTAGCGCAAGGTAAGGAAGGGGAGATCACAACGCACTTGTATAAAATCAAACACGCTTAGAAATGCTGGTTAGTCACAGCTGTTAGAGCGGACATTAGGTGACGAAGAAAACGTCCCACAATGCCATTTACCTGAGGAATGCGATTTCATCTCTGGTGTTGTTCAAATCTTCATAGTAGTGTATCTTGGCATGTTTGTTTTGTTTGGGTGGCAAAAATTTCACTATAAATCGTTGCATACTTTATTCCAGGACCTATGCAAACATATACATTAAGATCCAACACCACTGCGATCGACATCATTATGCCAGGAAATCCGTGAACCAAAGTTGTGCGGAGCAATTTGTTTGCAATAATGGGTCAACAGTTCATGGCGGCCTTTCCATGCTTGAGGTCAACTCCGGGGAATCATGTTCACATGGCTACATTGCTGACTATTTGATGAAGAAGGCAATCTGGGCACTTGATAATCATGACCTTGACATTTTGAGAACAATTCTGGTCTGATTAACTTGCCGTCAGTCAGTGGTGACCGAAGAATCTGTGCATAGAGTATAGCACAAATGACGAATAAGAGAAGCTCAGTTCGCGTCACAATTGAGGTCAAGATAATTAAGACTGAAAATTGAACAATTTATGTTCCAGTAAGTTGCAATTGGATCTTACCTAAGGACAAAATGTCCTATTAGAACCGCATTGCATGCTGTTCGATTGACCCAATGGTGCTTTCTACCTTGGTAACAGAACTAGTGCTATGGCGATGTGACCTGCGTGCATAGACAAACCCACTTATATTGCAATTGTTTATCACTTTAATAGGTATACGTGTAGTTGAATTCAATCTAAATACCACGATCCGGGTTAGCCTGACTATGTGTCCTGCGAACATTCACTATTAGATGCCTTTACATCATTTGACAACGCACGTACCTATTTGAATAATTTTTGGATTAATGCTTTTAAACACACCAATCAAAATAATGCATCTAACCAGGTATGCACAGTTGTATTCAAACACATTTTTAAGCTTAGCTACTGCATTGTTTGAGTTGACTATAAATCTCCATGTTTCGAATGATTCGACATTAAAAGCATCACTTGGTATTCCACATTGGTTACTATTTAAATTATAACAGTATACCCATCGCGAATGAATTTGCATATTACTCATATTATTGACAACTGAGTTAATGCAATTCTCTAATTCACCTACATTATAAACATAAAGTGGCAGAAGACATCGGCCAAGTCCATTCTCCAACTCCGCAATTCTGCTTGCGATTCCGTCGGTATTTTGACATTGTTTGGTCATTTCAGTTCACCCGCATGTTATTAAAGCACCTGTTTGCAACAGCGCACGCCAAAATGAGGAAGATTGTAGGCACATCTGATACTCGCGCACATTTTCTTTCTCGAATTCATTTTCAAGGTGTCAATGATGCATTTATTTCACTTGATTTCAGAACAAACATGCAACCATTTACTTCCAACA